GCGTGGGAAAACTCCAACTTTGAAAATGCCTGCGACACAGTTTTAACTTTTGAGAATTAACACCAACACGGACAGACGAAAAACAAGCTCGTCCGTTTGGACGACCGCCGCCACCGTATCGAATCCTCGTCAGCGTTTCTAATTCAAAAACCAGCAAATCCCTTCGGTTGACAAGCGACCGACGCGACGAGCCAGAGGGTCGTTCTTAGACCTCTCTGTTTGCGCGCTCTTATCCGCGACGATCTCGAGCGAAATCCGGAGCTCCGGTCCAGCCGCATAATCCCAAGCGCATTAAAGCGTCGTCTGCTCTTGCTTTAAAAAAAGAAAAGGAGATCGACGAAGAGGGGAGAGGGGGAGAGAGAGAGCGAGAGAAAGAGAGAGAGAGATAGACCGATCCTGCGCCACGTCGGAGCTTGGCTTTCCCCGCGACACTCGTTTGGCTTTGCGTGCAAACTCGAAGCAGCAGGGGCGACGACATAAAAGACGAAGGAAGGAGTCGCACGTAGGAAGAAGAGGAGAAGGGAATTGACGGGATAAAAGGCGGCGACGTGCGGAATGGAAGGAGAGAGAGGAAAGAGCGAGAGAGAGAGAGAGAAAGAGAGAGAGAGCAAAAGCGAATGTGAGAGACGAGCGGCGTGCACCCTTCGGCGATGATACGAAAATACTGACACGCGTCCGACGATTGATCCGCGACACGTGTCCTCAATGCCGCAATCAGCGTGCCTGACTGACGTCGCGCGATGCAACCCGCGGCCAGATTCATTATTTATGAACGATTTGAAAACCGATCTGCTGAGTAAAGTGGTCTTTTTAAAGACGGGGGTGTGGTGGAGGGATGGAGAAGGAGGATCATCGCGGGACGACCGACGCCACGGCGGCAAGCACCCACGTGGTAGGTGGTTTTGTGTGTTCAAATGGTGGGCTAAAATTTCGTAATCTGCCTGATGGACGTATTGTGCCCCTCCCTGTTTTTCTGTAAAAGGTTTTTGTAGGAGGTTTTTCTTCACTCTAGTAAAATATTAAAGAAAAAATCCTTAACACTTTCGAGATTGATCGCGATACAATTTTTCCCTTTCAATTTTCCATTCATAGGTTCGGGAGAAAAAATCCGATCGCGCGCTATTGTCAACTAGCCCCGCGACTGGCGCCGTCGACAGTCGGTCACGCGCGTTCACGCGGGATAAGGGAAATCTGGTGGACGGTGATAGCGCCAAGTATAGAGGGAATCTTTTCTTTGTACACCGGCGGATACACACCTACTTATCCGATAGATTGACCAACGCGCGGGTGTGCGATTTCACGGGCTTTCAAAGACCCCCGCGACTCGCCGCAGGACCGCGTAGAGGGTACCGCCGCCGAAGGACATGAATTTTCATTCTCCCCGAATTATTCCGTCCGTCACGTGGACGGGGGAATCAGTTTTCAACGAGATATACGGCCACCGCAGTCCTTTTGTGCGGACGAATTGGCCCACTCTCGTCCAAACGGTGACAAAGCTCCGATGCCACGAAATTGAAAAGTCCGTTGGGAGGGGGCGGAAGAGGACACAGCCTTCTACGCCGCGGTTTATTGCGACTGGCAAAGATATTGAGAGAGCGGGTCGCATTGTGAGCCGCTCGTGGGGAAAAATATACGGCTAAATAAGATCGCGCGCGGCCGGTGTTTTATGGTCGTCCTGTCGGTGGGTGTGTTCGAGAATTTATGTCTTATTTTCGGGCCAACTCCTGGAAGCAGTCGCTACTGCAGCTTGATTAGGTCGCGAGTCGCCGTGGGTACCAGCTCCTCCTCGGCTGATTTAATGGGTTTTGATTGTGCCGCCCGCGCCGCGCATATATCTTGCTGCTTTTTTCTGCATTAGTCAGACGCGAGCCATGTTACTCGACAGAGAAACCGGCTAATATATCGATGGTTGTGAAAAAAAAAGAAAAGAAAGAAATACACGAAGGAAAGAATAAGAGTAAGAAAAGCAAGGAGAACCTCTGCTTTGGAAATTTCGTCGGTCGATCTATCGGTGTAAGCATATTATAAATACTTGTTATAATTATTAGAATAATAATGAGGAATAATATTACTGTAATCATGAATGTTATGGTAAACAAATAACTCTAAAAATAACTTTTCCTTTCCTTGACGCGGAAAAAATGCTGTTGAATCGATAAAATTCGTCAACATCACCGCAGGTGGGACAAACCTCCTTGATTCAATAGCAGTACTGTTGAAACTAATATTTAACTTATTAAAACAGTATTTAGTTTTGTTAATATATTTCTATTGAATCAAGCAGACATTTTCCGACGACGAGACGCCGTTGGCTCAACAGGCACTTTCTTTCCGTGTAAGCTAATCTTCTCCTAAGCTGAATCACCTCGCAGTAAACATTCGCAAAATAGCGGCTTTCGTGTTCCCGGCGTCCCTTTGCGACTTCGTCTCCGAGATTACCGAGAGTATCTGATTAACTCACCCTTCGTCTCTCGGAAAAACTCGGCTTCTTTGGCGCACGGTCGCCTCCTCACCTGGCCGCCGGCGGGCGTGTCCACCTGCGGCGCATTTTTCACGGGGATTAGCAGACGCAATTGCCGTTCCCTTCCCCGGCGGTCCTTTGTCGGGCAACCTACCGCGTAGGAGAACTGCGCGCAGCTCCTTTGCATCGGCACCACCAATTCCGGAGGATTTGTTTCGGCACTTGGGGTGTGGTAAGCCGACATGAGACCAACGCCCCGACGTCGGCGCGCACTAATAACGAGGAATTATCGCCGCGATACAATGGCCCCACAAGGAAATCCTCTTTGATGTCTACCACGGAAAATAATGCCGCGCTAATAGAGCGAGATTACGGCGCGCACAGCCGGTGTAGACGAACCCGAAGATGACGACACGTCACCATGGAGATCGCGACTCCGCGTCGTCTCCTCTTATCCTGCGGAAATGCTAAGCCTGTTACGGCTTTACCACCGTCCACTTTGCTCTCTAGTGCCATTGCACTCGAGGATATTGTCTTTTCCGACGCGGTCAATTTCATTACGTCGCTTCGTCTGCACATTCCGGCACAACGCGGTATGATTTGGACCTTTCACTCGGGCGAGGAAAAAGAAAAATTTAAGATGTAAGAATTAGAAATTAGTGATCATTCAATTCTATTCTCGCTTTGCTTAATCGCGTAGGGAAACCGGGGCTAGTTGGCAAAATTGATTTCTACTCTACTGAAATATTTTGAGATGTGGTATCATACAGAATGTTGACGCCTACTTTGATGCTGCAAATGTCATTATCGTTCCCCCATGTTGAAGAAGTTCGCGAAATAGAGAAAATGATGTAACCAATTATCATGTCAAGGTAGAACAATAATCTGTGCGAGGTTGTTCGACAGAATTTGTAGAGTTAATGCGAAATTTCGGCTCGAGCATCAAAATTGTCGGGGATACGAGAAATCTAAGGGTAATCATGTTAATTAGATAATCGCACCGTCCTCTGCAATTATATTATCCCACACACGCACACAGCGGACGAAAATCAACGGTATCCATTGCACCCCGCGGCTTTCTTTCTCCCCCGCACCTTTCCATGCGTGAAACGAATCTTTGTAAAGTTCCTGCATATCGCGCGGATCGTGTCACGCGACATTGGATGTATCAGAAGGCTAATTGTCTTCCGCTGTCAGTTGCACCCCACTTGGCCCTGTCCAGGGCACACGCCCCTCCGGGTTACGGCATTGCCGCGGATACTCGCCACACCATTTCCATCCCCCTTGTGCATCGAGTCAGCGAGAGAGTTCACGGTGTGCACGCCCCAAATTTCACGCCAGAAAGGATAAAATAATTACACGTTGTCCGCCGCTTTTTCGGCCTTCTATTTCTACAGCGCGTCACCCTTGTAGCGAACGAACGCGCGCGGTGAGCCGCTATTTGGGGAAAGTCATACGTGAATTTTACAGCTGCGACTGCTGCACACCTCGCCTGCAACGCGCGTGCCAAGAGCGTTTCGCACCGGAAAGGCGACATCGCGCGACTCAGCAATTCCTTTTTGTTCGGCGGAAGTTTTTTCGCGAACGCCGAATTCTTCGAAGCGAATCTCTCTTTCGAGAAGATTTCGCGCGGAGTGGGACGATATATCATTATCATTATCATCATCATCATCATCATTATTCCTCAGTGCAAACTTTTCATGTCTAACATTAGATACATATAATTATCCGACGGCGAGGTATATACTTTCCGACGTTTACGTGCATCTTCCGCCTTGCGAGGGTGGAGCGACGCTCGCGCGCTATTTCACGGACACGCGAGCGCACCTGAGAAACGCAAGGTGTCACTATCCTCACCAGCGGCGCGGAAAAGAGGCACGAGCCTGAGAGCCCAAATGAACGGGAAGACGACTCGCTTCCGCCGAGGGTTTGCCGGCCACCACCTGCCGAGCGAGTCTTCGACCTCACGCGGACTGAAATTGCTGACCGTTGGCGATAATAAAGTTATACAATCGGCACGATCATAGACGTTATCGGCTCGCATTTCGGCGAAATTCGCGATCGTTCGGAAATTACTGCGCTCGAGGGTGGATCGCATGTCGACGCGCAGGCCCAACGGCAAATCTTCCGGCGACCACACACCCCGAAGAGACAAGGAGCTTTTCGTGGGCGGGTATCGAGGATAATTTCCGGAATTGCACACAAAAGAATATTTTTGTTTGGAAAATGTCTTTATTGTTGACATTTCAAAATAAGATTAATGTTAAAAGATTATATGTTGAACGAAGATAAATTAGTCTTCAATCAAAACGAATATGTCAAATTAACACAATCATTTTTTCATAAAATATTATAATATTAATATTATAATATTCTTGGTTATATATTATTACTTTACAATAAATAAATTAATCAAGACGAATATACTCAAATTAATACAATCATTTATCTCATATATAACCTCATATATAACCAACAATACCGATATTCATGTTTATATATGAGAAAATGATTGGGTTAATTTAACTATATTCGTCTTGATTGAAGATTAATTTATCTTTCATCAATGCCATATAATCTCATTTTAACATTAATCTTATTTTTTAAATGTCAACAACAAAGATATTCTCCAAACAAGAATATTCTTTTTTCTGTGCACGCGTGATATTTCTCGTAATCGTCAACTATTCGACGTAACATCGTAACGTTGCACATGTCTAATAGTAATTCAAGATTTTTCATCAATCTCTTTCCGTCGCTCTGTCGATTGCACATTCTTTTCTTCTATTTTTAATTTATTTCAGATCACGTCAAATTTCAAACCACAAAGATATTTCTTTCACGTCCATCAAGGTGTCCAACAAACACCCGACAAATATTATCTCATCCTTAATAGAATTATTTTATGCACACATCTAAGAGAATTTTTTCTATAACCTAAAAAAAAAACATTCCAATACTCAAAGAATAGAACTGTGGAAGGTAGTTCTTGTCAATTCTAAGCTTTTACTGGAAAATATCCTTGCTTTAATAAAGAGGAATATAATATTAGTGCTTAGAATATTTTCCTTCTGGGGTCTTTGGGGAATTCTCTTACTAGGCCTCTACTATATAAGAGGATTCCGTTAAGAATGAGATCATCTGTCGGATTTATCGGACGTTTTGGTTTTTTTGCTGAATCACACTGTAATATTAACTCGTTCTAATGCCTATTGTCTAGACGCAGTGGTATTAATTGATTCTAACGTCGCGCGCTATTTTAACATTATCTACATATCGATATATCTGGAGGGAGCGCGAAAGCAGCCGTTACAAGAAAAGCTGCTGCCGGCGAGTGGAGAATCCCTTGCATCAGCGAGGATAGAATATGCTTGGGCACGTAGAATGCACGTCGACGCTTGTCTATCGACATCGACGTTGAATTTTCCGTCGAGTCGGCAATTTCCGGTATTCCGCCCGCCGACGCTTCGTCATGTATGCCTTATCATTTTCTAAATTAATAGTCAAACGTTTTTTTAATATTACACATGTACGAGTATCTCTGATACTATACAAGTGCCTCTGATTACAATTCTAAGGCATACATGACGCGGTGTGTACACATTTCCCATTTTATGTGTGTAAGGCTGCGGGACCGTGAAAAACCCTTAATCTAGAGAATGGTAAGGCATACATGACGCAGTGTATGGCGCGCGTCAACAGCGCGACGTAATGGATGAGAATGTAACTGTGTAACGCTGAACAGACGAATATGGTGTATTAAGAAGAATGAAAAGGAGATCAGCGAATTTTTTTCCCCGCGTTTATGCGAGCGCGTTTGCTTGTCGAGTTACTCGGGCTGCCGAATATCAGGCGGTTCTTGCGAGAAAGGTAAAATGCGCGTGTGAGACGTGTATAAAAGTTCACAATTTTATAGATACTCATTCATCGGCCCCTAAATATCCGGCGGCGACTGCATGTCGAATGATAGTGCAGTTGGAGTTAACTCGCTGTGTCTTTCCTCGCGGATTGTGTAAGCTGTCGATTACTTTAATAACTAATAAGCCTAACAAATTACTTCCTATGGGAACTCGGCTCTCAACATTGTCGTCGGTGGCGCATCGTGGACCATCGGGTTTCCCACCCGGAGAGGAAGATCGATCGCTAACGTGGAAAGCGAAATTCATCGCGAGATTCCGAGTCCGACAGGTAAGGGACGAAACGCGACACACGGACATCTTGATCCTCCCAGTCCTGAAAGACATTTCGCAAGATTGCACTCTCAATTAGTACTACGCCATCAAATTTTCGAATTCAAACAATATCGCGAATTGTTGTTACGTGCTATACGTGGGACGCTCGACTTGAAATTGATTCCGCGTGGAAATTAAGCATCGTCTAGTTAAACGTTCAACTTTAAAACTTAATTAGTTATCCGAACATTAATTACAGACCTGCGGGAAGAAAAACGGCGGGCTGATTCGCGAGGATTCGCTCGCGTCGATGCTCTCGTGTCCCGGCGAGGATTTAGGGTTCCTGTTTCCCGAAGAGCGATCGTTCGGTTCCTCATGAGCTGGGAACACCACGCGCCCCGAGCTCCCCGATATATATTCTTTCTGGAAGAAGCTTTCGCCGTAATCTCGCTGAGCGCTTAGCACGGGGACGTCGAACTTCAGCTTGCCCGTGCCGATACGATCAGCCGCCGCGCTTGCGTAGCCGGGAGACAGAGCTTTCCGTTTTTTCCCTCGCAGGAATTTCGAATTGCCTGTCAAGCGACGAGCGATTTAATTGTGGAAAAGTTCTTCCGTCTCAACGCGACAAATCTACACGTCCTCTCTCCACCACTACCTTGCGACGCGTAAAGCTGCTGCGAGTAACCGTCACGCCCGTGTCCGCCGAAGAACCGGAAGAATCCGCCGTTGTGATTGTTCAGATAATGCACCAGTTCGCCGGTATTACGCGGACATCTCGGGAACGCGCGGTAACACGCGGTCGGATTTCCCCCGCTGCTGTAACCCAGCGCGGCGGCTCGCGCGAAATTCAGCACGGGAGACATCTCCGTCACGTCCAGCCTGACGAGCCATCTGAAAGACGCAATGAGAAGAAACGAGACGAAAACTCGGCCTAATTAACGTCTAATTCACTTACGTTTTTCCTTCTCCTATACAGGGTGTCCCAAACTCTCCTTATCACATTAAGTGGGAATGTAGAACGGGTTGAGGGGAACATAAAAGTACCATACACTGTAAAAACTGATGTGTTAAATTTAACATTTCATGTGTCCTAAATCATTCACTCTCATTTATGTGTAAATTTAACACAAAACAAATGTGGTAAAAAGTAACACGCATAATATGTAAAAAATTAATACAAGAATTTAACACTTGAGTCAGGAATCACAGTTTGTGTTAAATTGATATATGTATAATGTTAAATTAACTAAAATAAAACGATACTTTAACATTTGAGAGAAGTATTAATCTATGGTTTTGATGAAATGAAAATGTTAAATTGACGTAATCTATCTCTGACATATTAAATATGTCAATTTAACACAACCTGTGATTCCTAATGGTATTCAGGCGTTAAATTCTTGTGTTAAGTTTTTCCATATTATGCTTGTTACTTTTTAACACATTTGTTTTGTATTAAATTTACACATAAATGAGAGTGGATGATTTGGGACGCATGAAATGTATTAAATTTAACACATCAGTTTTTACACCGTTTTGCGATATTCGCAATAATAACCGAGAAATTAATTGTAAAAGATTAAGGAAAAACACATGCTGAATGGTTGAGGGTGGAGCAGTCGCGGCCTAATAATATAGCGCACGGATGTCGGCGCGTGGTGATTGGAAAAACAACGTACCACAAACATTGCCTATATTTATATCGCTGCACTTCTACATTTCGCCTCGGCGCGGTGCGGCAAGATCAGAGCGATATAAGACGCGCGCTGACATCTGCCTGCTATATGACTGGGTCGCAAGCACTCCTCACTCAACCATTCAGCGTGCGTTTTTCTTTAATCTTTTACAATTAATTTCTTAGTTATTATTACAAATATCGCAAAACAGTATGGGATTTTTATGTTCAACCCTTCAACCCGTTCTACATTCCCACTTAATGTGATAAGAAAAGTTTGAGACATTCTGTATATATACGACACGCGTTTATTTTATTTTTATATTAGTTATCATTATTTTAGTTTTTTCATTTTCTTCTGAAATTTTATTTATTTGGTTCTAATATTTTAATATAATGTTGTATGTCTCATAGCACTTATTATTTGTTAGTATGCAAAGTAAAATAATTAAATTGCAATGACATTAATATCTTCTTTAAAACTTGCTAAAATTTAGTATAAGTTATCATGAAATGACTTGCCCAAGGTTAGGAATTGCCGATTGCCTAATATGGGGGAAAACCATATGTTTTCTAAAACAATTATATCTCAAAAACAAATAATTTTATAATGTATCTAATAAGATAATTTTACAGATGTATATTCATAAAATATTATGCATGCTTCATCAAACATAGTATTAGGTTTGTTCGAGTTGCTTGTACTATTCACACTTTTACACCTAATGCCCGTTGCACACTAGTGCAATACTACTAGTTGCACACTAGTGTAATAGGTTGCACCTCATACAATACAAATTTTCCAAAATACGTTCTGAAGATGTTTTTAGGACGAAGGGATGTCATCAGAATATTTTTAGGACGTCCTTTGAAGATGTGAGCTGTCTGAAAATAGTTAATATCCAATAAGTTTATTCTCATTAATTGAACTTTTTACACTTTCACACTTAGTGTACATTAATTCTTTAGAGGTTCTAAAGCCAGCGGCACTCGGTGCTTGTTTTCATGCTGGTTGCTGATTGGTGCATTTCTGAAGATGGATGGAAATACACCAATCAAAACAGAGTATTTCCATCCAACAAGCAATCCAGCATGAAAACAAGCTCCGTGTGCCGCTGGCTTAAAAATGACTTCATGATTTCCGTTCGTGTTACGAGTGTAAATGCAATTCTAATACACTTTTTACACTTGATCCCAAGCAAGAGTGAAAAAGTGTATCAGAATTGCATTTACATTCGTAATACAAACGGAAAACATGACGCCATTTTTAGAACCTCTAAAAAATTAATGTGCACTAGTGAAAGTGTGAAAATGTAAAAAATTCAATTAAAGTGAATAAACTTATTGGATATTAGCTATTTTCAGACAAGTCACACCTTCAAAGGATGTCCTAAGAATATTCTGATGATGTCCCTCCATCTTGAAAATGTCTTCAGAATGTATTTTGGAAAAATTTTGTTGTTTGGAGTGCACTAGTGTGCATTGGGCATTAAGTGTAAAAGTGTAAAAAGTACAAGCAACTCGAACAAACCTATTATGGACAAAGTTATAAGCTCTTACAAAAAACCTCTCCATATTAGACAGCTTTACTTTATGTTGCTATTATGATTACGACATTACGCACGTGTGTTATTGTTAGTAGTACACATTACCCGCGGAAATACGCACTGAGCGAAAGCGTTTCTTCCGAGATCGCCCAGATACGAGGATGCCTGTTCTCCCGGCGGCCTGCCGCTCGCCATTTCACACAGTATTCGCGGCACGCACTTGGAATCATCATAGCGAGAGATCGACGATAGAGCGTCGTAGAGATTTGTCCCGAGCCCGCCGGACAGATCGCCCGGTGTAAATGGCCGATTTAATTGATACTGACCGGGATCCACCGGAAAATAATCGTTAATCTGCAAAACAACAGTCAGAGCGTACGTCAACGACGCCGGTCCTGGTCAATTCCATTGCGGCAAACACGTCCCGCAGGATACGTACCGACGGGATACCGTTGTTAAATAAGCTCGAGACCAAATCCCCGAGAGATGATTCGTAAGAATTCTTTCTGTGAGCTAACGAATCCAACTCGTTTGGCTGTCTCAGCGACCGAGCGTTTCCTTGAGCCGGAAGGTCGGTCATGAGCGCGCTTATGCATCTATACGATCGATTATAACAAGAATAAATTGAATATATTGAGATAACTCGTGTGTGCAGTTAAATGTATCGAAATAACTTGAAGACAGATTTGTGAAAAACAAGAGAGACTTGTGAAATTAAATGAATTGAAGTATCACCTTATTAGAGAGATTATAATTAGATTAGACGGTGTGCTATGATAATTTTTACAAGTACGATTAGACTATTTTTCTAATTCTAAATAGCGGTATATCTCTTCCTGTTTGCACACTTTTACCGAGATTATATCTTACCGTAACAGATCTGTCACATTATAGATCCGAGAGGCATCGAAGTTGCACTGACTATCGTCGGGCAACTCTTTGGGGTCTCGCGATGATTTACCGGCGTCAGCTCTGAAGTACAGGTACGAGAAGCACCACACAAGGATAAGTTTATTCGTCATTCTTTGCGTGCAGAGGAATTGCGGATCTCTTATTTCTAACGGACAGAATGTTTTTCTTATTGCACTATTAAGTATAACGTTTGCCGCGAAAAAGTCGCCACTAAAACATTACTTAAGATCGTTGTTTGATCACTCCTCATCGACGATTTTTCAACGCATTTTAAGAAACACGAACCACCACTCGAACATGAACTCAACGCATCGAGTTTGCTTACAATACGGCGACTTTTGCGCTCAACGGCGAGTTCTTTTTCGTGTAAACGATCGCGCCGCCAGTCTCGGTTCCGCACCAACTGAAACTTTCTTCGGACTTGATCCTCCGTTTATTCGTTCGGTCGGAAAGACGTGGGTTGGAAGCGACGTCATTGCGGGCGGCTCTCACTCCTTGTGTACATTCGTGCCTATACCTACGCTCAAACGCGCGTGTGCGTGTGATGTGTGTGTGTGTTCGTTGCGCGCGTGTATGGACATATGAAATCGCGCAAAATAGCACATTTTAAACACAGTCTTTTCGCAAGAGCTCTCAAAAAATCAGCGGGTTCGAGCATATACGCCTCTCTAAATGTCAAACAGTTTATCTATGCAGAATAAAATGCGGAGTGTGTGTATAACGATGTATCAGTTTAGAGTTGCTTATTTATGTCACGGACGCGTATAGTGAATCGGAGAAATCGACAGACGCTTAGGAGAAGGAAAGTAAGATAGAGAGAAACGAGAAATAACCGGTAAAAGACGGAAAGAAAAAGAGAGAGAAAAATCTCTCCAAACCTACGATATTAAAATAGTTTCCCCGATCTCCGATATTAAGTTTTATTTCAACTTATTAAAAATTTATTATTATATATTTATTTAAAAATTATTAAAATTAAAATTTATTGAAAAAAAATGTTTTTGATTTTTCGCAGACCACGCCAATGGTCCCTCGTTCCTCTTTTCTCGATGACTATGTTTCTTCATATTTGTCAATTAATTATTAAGATAAATTGCAATCTGCGGTAGATATTTGTCAATCGATAACAACGAGAATAATTCAACAGTAGGAAATAATTTAACAACATGTTGTCTCCCGTGCAATCAACGCGCTAACGAACGTAATGGAACTGCATAAAACACGCGGAACATATACATCATCTCGTCCCGTTCTACAGATTACAATTTATTCTGTAACCGCGAATAATCACATCCATGTGGCATTGGAATATTCACAACCCACGCGTAGATTCGAGCGTGATATCCGGTTAATCCGACAGGGTGGCGTTATCGCAGCCTCTTCCTCTCTTCGCCAGCAAATGACACAGCTTCGGACTGCCAATGATATCCCCCAGAAAGACACTCAGCAAGTAATTCTCCTTCATCGGGTCGGGCGATGACTTGTACTCGCTGCGAAATTACAATGCACACACGAAATCACCATTACTAACACCCAACACGTCGCGCTAATATCAATGAATGAACCCTACACTTGGCAAGAGAAGAAATCGAGTTGGAATTCACTTCACAAAGTGACTATTACAGATAGTAGAATAAGGCTACGTGACCTGCCGCCTACTTATAAATAGTAAAACAAAATTACGGGTTATATATACGAGTTATACGGGATATATTTTTCCTATTTTATACTAAATATGTATACATTGTAAAAACTGATGTGTTAAATTTAATATTTCATGTGTCCCAAATCATCCACTCTCATTTATGTGTAAATTTAACACAAAATAAATGTGGTAAAAAGTAACACGCATAATATGTAAAAAATTAATACAAGAATTTAACACTTGAATCAGGAATCACAGTTTGTGTTAAATTGACATATGTATAATGTTAAATTAACTAAAATAAAACGATACTTTAACATTTGAGAGAAGTATTAATCTATGGTTTTGATGAAATGAAAATGTTAAATTGACATAATCTATGTCTGACGTATTAAATATGTCAATTTAACACAACCTGTGATTTCTAATGGTATTCAAGTGTTAAATTCTTGTGTTAATTTTTTCCATATTATGAGTGTTACTTTTTACTACATTTGTTTTGTGTTAAATTTACACATAAATGAGAGTGGATTACACATAAATTATTTGGGACACATGAAATGTGTTAAATTTAATACATCAGTTTTTACAGTGTACGTTATATCATAAATGTATATTATTTTACGTGTCGAAGCACGCGTTTTGATGTTGCATGAATTACATGTTGCATTTTGCAGCCCGAGGACACTCTACAAACAAACGACACCTTGTCGAGGACATATTGGCTTTGCCGTGTTACCCAAACGGATTCCTCAACGAATTTCTAACGACGCCACTTCACCTACGATCCTTCCTTCCATCAGCGATCGCCCCGGCCGAGCCACCGAGGCGGCCGAGACGATCTCGGGACAACTTCGTCCCTCATCCATGGTCGGTTAAGCCCGTCTAGACGGTAGTTGCCGCCAGTACCCGATCTCCAATTTATCTGTCCCCGCCGTCCGCCCCGCTGAGGTTGTCTCTCGTCTACCTCGTCACCCTGCGTTCGCCTACGTGAGGCGCCCGCAGGTGACGAGAAGGAACAGGCGCAGGCGGTGGAGGAGCGCGAGGAGCAGAGAAGGAGGAAACCTGGCATGAAATACGCGTCTCGAGAGATGCATCGTGCGTCGTCGACAGGCACGACGACACGTGCTCGCTATCTCGAGCCGCAGGGCATTAGGAAGTCCGAGAGATAAGCCGACAGGTCTCCTCAAACCCACGAGCCGGATAGCGCGGCTAGCAATCGTAAAAGGAGACTATCGCTCTCTCTTTCTCTCCCCCTGCTCTGACCTGGAATATGTAGCGGTAGCTGAGTCAAGTCGCGCAGGAAGAACGGATGGACGAGCGGATGAACGATCGCGAGGAGGGACAGGGAACGCGACAGAAGGATGCGGTAGTTATCAGGATGCATTAAGGCGCCCGTGAAGCCGCCATTAAAGGCTATCTGCTGCCAGCGTTACTTACAACTGAATTTAGTGTAAGTCCCGGTGTGGAGGAGCGAGGAGCTGGTGAAGAGCGCGTAGACGGTAGCTGGGACTTCTATTATATCTTCCAACGTGACTGCCCGATGAACGAGGAAGTGAAAGGATGCGCAGGAGGAGCAGAGGGAGAAGGAGAAAATGCTCCATCACTATTAAGAGAGAGAAAGAGAGTGAGAGTGAAAGAGAAAGAGAGGAGGAAAGGGAGGTAGAGGGAGAGGAAGAGGGAGAGAGAGAGAGAGAGAAAATCTCTGGGCGCTGCACTTCCTTTCAGGAATTTGTAGGCGTGGATCGCGCGTCCCGACGTTATCGCAACGATTTTACGGCGCGTCACGACACGGCTGAATTGTTCAACGGAACGATTAGACGTCGCACCTAATGTCCTCTATAGATCGCCACTTCATCCTTTCCAATTAGTCAGCCTTTCCTTCTCCTCGGCTACTCTGACAAAGGAATGCGACCAACGGCCTTATTCTGAACGCATGGCCGCACTTTAAATATGCCCTTTTAATTCCAACCTCTGTTTTTCTTATACGAATGTCACGTGTAACGTTTTTCAGCCCGAGAGTCAGAAAGGCATATCTAGCGTTCGACATGCGTCCAGGATGTGGCTCCAGACTGCGGCGACCTCGTTCTCTTTGTGTTTTAAAATATCCTGCCAGAATCTAGAACAATTCGTACATGTTCGAGTCTTTACTTTCTCAGACTTTCGTTATGACGTTTAATCAGCCCCATGTTCTTGCCAACAAAAGAAATGAACCTCCTTCGAGCAAATTTTTATCGAAAAAAATGGATCGAACGACGCGATCTCGGGGAGTGCGCTTTCGCGCGACTCTGCATATCGGGCCGCCGTTTCCCAACGGAAAGCCGCGCCGCGCTTATCCCGGGTTAAATCGGTTGCCCGCTGTAATTACCAATGGTAGCGCGGAGTCTCGCAAGAGCGAGTGTAAGATACTGTCACGGAGGGTCACGTATCACTGCATAAATGGAACAACGGTTCACGTCGCTCTAATGAACCCGCTAATAAAAACCCTGACGGATTGTGCGTTTCCTAATCGACTGTAGTGCTGCGTCCATAAAACCTGTCTTTCAAGGCATGGACTCCTCCAGCCGTGAACTTCAAGGTCGCGATGCGTAATCGCGAGAAAGCCGCGAAGATTAAGATGGTGAAGATCGAGCATTTGCGATTTCGAGTGACGTTATCTTCACTTGTCTCGAGTGAAAATATCACTTTTCATTTGTTTTGAGTGAGATTTCACTTGGAGAAATTTTTAGAGTATTTTTTGAGTGAGATTTCTTGGAATAGTCTTATTTAAAAAGGGTAATTACCAAGTCGCTCGAATTTGAGCAACTTTTCGATCGTACAGAGCGAGTTCTCTGCTCTGAATCGTCGAGCGAATATTTTTACGTGTTCGCCACAAGAAGTACCGCCACTCCTCGTTCGTATCAAGAACTTCACTCTAAGAAATTTAGAGGGAGCATATATATTAGAATTAAAATTCATTAAGCATAAAGCGTTACACCCTCCCCAAAATTTGCATTCTCTCCCCAACAATTTATCTAACATCGCCACCGAGTTCTTCAAATCGCCAAATAAGCGACACCAAAATCGATGACGTTGTTGTCGTCATCGTCGTCGATATCGTACCTGAACACCTCATCCCAATCGAGAATACGTTCCCGGCTTCTTCTCCGAAAGGTTCGATCCGCGTACTTGGCGCAGATCCTCTCGTAGACGCAGACGTTATTCCCGAGCTCGGCCACCAACCTCTTCTCGACGTGACCGGCGTCTAAGATCTCCTCGTCGTGTATCAAAGGAGGCGCCCGTTTCGTCCGACTGACGTACGTATCTGGGGATTCAAAGAGAGCACCTTTGGACGCTTTGTCGCGGCCTCATTTCTGCGTGATCGACCTTTGATCACGGTTTATTCGCCTGCGACGTCAGTGATTTCCGCAAAAATTTCTCACGTGTGAGATCGATAGAATGAACGATGTTGCAGTGAGCACGGCGAATATTGCTCATTAATTAGCCGCTTCTAATGTTAATGGCCAGAAAATCATTTAGGCTTAACAGTAGCAACCTTGACCTACGAAACCGGCGACTTGCGGCGCGTTTGTCCACTTAACGGTAAGTAAGTTCACTCGGAGCAATTACAAAGTAATTACAAGCCTCCGTGATCCGAGAGAGAAGTTGCAACAAGTGGAACACTTTCGCTCTCGCTGTCAACCGATTCGACTCGCGTGTTCCTCGCGAGAATACAACCTATGGCGTATGTGCGCGTTACATTTTTGCTTTTCACGGCTGGCGAATTAAAATCTGCTGTCGCTGAGAATTTTCCGCCAAATGATACGCAGACACGGAAGCGCACGCGATTGTAAGCAGGAACGCGGAAAGTGAGTCTTACGTCATACATGGCAGACGCGTTGCTGGTTTTACGATAGAAAGCGTGATTCGCGATGATCCGTCAATTTCACGCGTGCACCGTGCTTCCCCTTCTCTTTATTTTTTTCTGTGTTTCTTGTTAATTCTCATCTAATTTAAGTTTACTCTAGATTATTCTATCTCGTCTGATTCCATATAAATTATATCTACATATTTAAGAAAATACATATAATCTCATCCTTAGCGGAATCCTCTTATCCTCAAGAGAATTCTTCTAAAGTCAAAAAGAAAATATTCTAACAATATCGTTCTTCTTCGTTGAAAGAAGAATACTATTTCAATAAAGGTTTTCATATAGAATATAGGATTGTAAGAAATATCATTTTTCTATTAGTGTTTTTTTGGGTGTTAAAATATCTTTCTTTTGGAGAGTGTCCTAAAGCCATATATATATGAGGATTCTGAGGATGAAATTATATACATTTTTCGGCTGTAACTATATTTGTTATTCTCACGACGCGGATCGCAGGCGAATTTTATCACGAGGCGGACTGTACCGCGCGCGCGTTACCTGGATTCAAGGAATACGCGAGCTTCTTGAGGAAGGTGGTGAGTCTTACGGCCGCTATAATCACCGGAAAGCCGATCAGCTGCACCGGAAGCTCGAAAAGCGGCTCCTGCGGACTGGGCGCCGCCGTCACGAGCGTCAGCGTCAGAGAGTAGCAGCCAAAGAGCACGACAATCCGTGGTAGCTGCATTATGCGCGGCGGATCTGAGACATTGGTTAATTAACGTAAGAACGAACCAGCGAGCGAGTACTGCGAAACCGACGCGGGACTTGACTTCCGGCGCAACTCCGCGAATACCTCCCTCTCCTTCTCTCGCGCGACTTTCTCGAGCGTATCCGCTTCAGGGAAACCACCTACGAATGCACGGGAAGCCGCGATTTTTTCTCGTTCTCAGACTCGTTCGCAGACGACCAACGACCCAAGCGAGCGCTCCAATTGGCGCTGATAATTACTTCGGCACCTTGGCGAAATAAGAAAAATAAGCTGGGGACGATAACAGAGCGATTAAGAGCGAACACACACCATGGAGATCGCGTGGATCGCACTTCGCGTCGCGAGCACGTGTCTCATACTGCAACGAGAGCATCTCCGTCGATCAAGTGAACTCGGTTGCTCTTCCTCCCACTCATCCGCGAGACCTCGATCACGCACTTCACGTAGCAAATCGTCGCTTGGCTCGCGCCTCCGACTACAAATCGACGGCGGCATCGTTACCGATAGTAAAGCACCCCGACACGTTATGTAACACGCACGTCCTACACTTTTCCGTCGGGCCGAAATTAACGAGACCTTCCGGAGCGCGTCGCGCGGGCTTCCGGGACGCGCGCTCTCTCGCACCTAGGCCAACGTACCGCGTGGTTTCGGCGCACCAGGCTTGGGAACGCGGCGACGGACCGACGGCTGCTTGCTGCTTTGGTAAAAACTTGTTGCTGAGTGTTCCTCGAGACGCCAGAGGCCGTCGTCGTTGGCGTAAGAGAAAGTGATCACTCCCTTCCCCTTCAGTTAGATCCGACGGTGAGTTTCACATTACGACATTCGGTACGATCTACGTACGAGGATTTCCTCGTGCCATAGACAACGACGATAGCTACGGCTACCATTCTGACTCGCGAAGATTCCCGGCAAGGTCATCGCCGGAGATGCTGCCGACGCATCGGCGAGTAGCAAAGTGTAAAGTTGGCCGCGTCTCAAATCACGGTGCTCCTTCGATTTGGAAATTTATCTGCGAATTTCGTCTGAAAGTGTTTCGACAAAAAATCCACGGCGGGATTCCCCGGCAATTTCAAGAGCCGATTACCCAGTTAGCTTAGGAGAGATCGACGACGGCGAAGTGTTGACGAACAACGATACACCGTTTCTCCAAATGTCTCTTGATTGCGACATCAAATTCAATTAACACGCATCAGCCCGCGTGTGCCGCAATCCGGAGAAGAGATTTTACTCTCCTTATCCGCCGCTGTCGTCCCACTTACCAGCGCCATGATATCCCGCCAGGTAATCATGCATGCGATACACAATGCGACGGCATTACGCGACAGTACGTGTGTATACGTAAGCGATGCACTAGAGGATGCATCGCGAGTATTTCGCGGTGAAATCCTCGGGACCATTGCGAAATTTAGCGCGCGCATGTCGACGTTACACTCAAGAAAATGCTCTTGCGGTCATTGCGAAAATTATCTACACTGAGAAAAAAATATCTAAAAATTAACAAATTTTTCTTAGCTAAATACCATTAATATAGTTACTTTAATAAAAATTCTTTAAACCGAATATTGTTTACTTAAACCGAAGAACCGTCTCTTTAATCAAAGTTTGACATATTTTACAATCCTACACTGAAAATTTGTGAAAACGTTATTTAAAAGTTAAGGATATTTCCGAAAAAAGACACTTGAAAATATAGTTCTAAAATTATAAAGAATAAGAAATAACATTTTTATATAAGAAATTTATAACTCACGATTCCAAAAATATTTGTTCACCATCAACTTGGTCGAATCTTCATCGCGAAGGGGTTGTTTCAACCCCCAAACGTGCGAGAGAGCGCATGTGAAATATGCGCGTCTCATTTTCAGCTATTTTGCAACGTATTCGGACTCCGAATTTCGGAGTCACATCACAACGAGCGAGGGACACTTGTATGTTTCTTTGTCGAGCGGAGGGAACTTGAGGGGATGAGGAGCAACGCAGCTCGGGCCGCGATCATGCGTTGCCAGAATTCCAATTCGCGCGACGAAAGAGGACTCGCAGAGAAGTTGGCAGCGGCGTGAGGAGCGTCGATAAACGCCGGCAGTGAGATATCGCGCGACAATTTTCGCGAGGATCGCGAAATGTCGCTGGCTGCGCTTCAGGGAAGGGTGGGTTCGGTGCGGTCTCATCCGCGGCGTTACGTCCCGTTTCACATGGCATATCGCGAAGAGGTCCTAACTGTTGACCGAGACTCTTGGCACGATCTCGTTTATGATGGCACGGCTCGTTGGGGAACGTCCGCTCCAACGGCACTTGGCATCGGGCTTAAGTCGATAAAGACGCCGGCGATTATTGCAATAATTTTCGCGCGTTTCTCCCGGATAGGCAACAGCAGCAGTAGCGAATTATATCGGCCAGGGAATACCCGCGGCGTATACTTGCATTAAAACAGTCGAAAAGAACGCCCGGGCGCCCGCTTTGGGGAGAAGATCGAGCGTTCTGATAATTTGGCAAAGTATCTTATACAAGATTCACCCTCTCACGTAGAGGCATGGCGGCCGAGTCTATCATAATAACGACTGATAGAATTTTCATGTGTAAGAAGAATGTATTTGTTATTTGCTTACTGAAATATGGTAACATGCAGTACAACAAACTCTTCAATATGCATATGTTCGTACGTACGCGGAATTTCTAAATTATATATCCTGAAGACGGATTTCGCGTTTGATCGAGAGATGAGCGAGATACACGATATGAGAGCTACGAACTTTCAATAAGAACTCTTGATAAATAAATAGTATCATTACTATCATTGAGCAAATATGTGTCTATTATTTTATTTACCCATCTTTTTATACTTTTATATTTATATTTTTTTAGTGAGCGGCTGAATGTAGGAAGGAATTTTGCAGAGAATCGCTGATAATGCGTAAGATATTTATATTTGCGGATTATGACTACGAAGTGTAGAAGATATCGATAACATCGTTTTCTCGACACTGTGCGGCCTCGACGAAGCTTAAAATCCCAATTCGCAAAACTAGGATTCCCCGTTACAATCAAAAGAACATCTCGAGCTTCGCGAGACATCGCAACAACATTCGTTGCTCCGTATTTTTCACGTCCCTTTCCATCTCGCGCGTGTGCGTGTGCGCCGACAGGTCGATGCTACCTCGAGTTCTTGAATCTGCTCGAGAACGAGAGAGGAGCGAGGAAGGAGCGATTCGCGATATCACAGATACAGAAATCGTCGGGTACGACTTCCGAGTCGAGCTTTCAGCCCGACTGTTCAGCGTAGGCGAACCTTCTTCATCATGTTGAGCACGTTGGTGCGCGCCAGTGGACACGTCGGGTAAAAGTTATGACAGCCTTGACCCTCCACACCGGAAATCAGTTGACCCATATGTGCCGCGAAGTGGTACCTCGACGGCACCTCCGCCATCGTGCTCAGACTCGTGTCCCTGAAAGCAGCAACGTTCAGGCGCGACCCATTAACGTGGCGAGTTTTGCGTTGATCAGTCGTAAACTCGTTAACTCCGTGTCAGCGTGACAACGGAGCTTTTTCTTAATCGCACGTGGCGATACATCGAACTTCAACAGAGCCTTAACATTCACCAGGCCGAGGCTTAGTCCCGATCCACAATAGGTGTAGTAAGCTTTAAGCCTTAAGAAATTGACCAATCACAGTCAAATTTGAGGAGAATAATCGACTGATTGATCAATTTCTTAAGGCTTAAAGCTTACTACACCTATTGTGGCTCGGGACTTACCAGTACTGGAATTCTGTAACTCGTTATTGGAGTTAACGACAGTTTTGTTATCGTTGCGCAGCTTTTGTATACTGTAGAAAAGCTGCGCAACGATAACGAAACTGTCGTTAACTCCAATAACGAATTACAGAATCCCAGCACAGTTCTGATGATGTGATGCGACACACAAAGAAAAAATTTGGTTGCATTATCGTGAAGTTCGGTTTTAATGAACAAACTAACGTGATTTGATTGCAAAACGCAGAATTCCTGATTTCAGTGACCCACATTTGATCTGAAGAACCAGCAATTCCGTTTAGCTAAAACATGTTGATTCGTTACAGTCAAACTTCACATTAACACAACCAAATTCTCTTTTTTCGTGTATGGTATATGTGACACATCGAGCTGCCAAAATTGCAGATCAGTCGGAACAACAACAATCACGTATAGAGAATTTCTGCATAATGCATAGGCGATTAGAACACTGATGAGCTTTGTCTCAGCAAATTCCAAAGCTTTGCGTGTACACGGATCGATCGGCGTTTCCAGCTAGAGGTCGTGAGTTTCGGGACGCAAGGAGGGATGGGGGAGAGGACGAGAGCTTCGTGGGGCCTAACAAAATCTCTACGTCAAACGTCATAATACTGCGGCGACAGCAAAAAATGTCCACGCTGTCATAACATCGCGAGCACACGGCAAAAATATCCGCGCTGTTCGAGCTAAATGTCGAAGCAATTGACCATGATAAAGCGGTCGCCGATGGCGGATATATAAAAACTGGCACAAGGCGAGTCGCCTTTTACTTTCGATATCGATGGCAGTCGCCGGCGAACGCTGCATGCAACGCTTAAAATCCGGTTGCACCTCGCAAAAAGCTACAACAGCGCGCCTTTCGCTCGTTTCAGTGTGTCCGTCGCATTTGCATTTCCACTGCAGGAGGTTTACACGTCGCCGAAGGAGGAAAATCCCGATCCCGTTGTTCGTCCCGCGATCTGTCGTAAACCTCGAGTTCCTCGATATTGCGCACACGTCGCGGATAAATCCGTCCACCTGCCCGGCTCGGAACGATCGCGACACACTCGAAATAATTATTCGATAAGAAATTAACAAACGGATATTTTCGATCAAAATACCGATGAATTTTTGTATCCGATCAAGAAACATCCGATGAGAAATATTATTAGTTCATAATTTTTTGATCGGTTTATCTGAAGAAATATCATTATAATCAGAAATATCCGATTAAATTTAATCGGATATTCTGATCGGAAATATTCGTTTGTTAATTTTTTATCGGATAATTTCTCTCAATGCACAACCGGAAATATTGCCATTTACCGGCGGTAACTAGTAGAAAGCGAATGCCTAACGTGTGCCAAGTCGCCCCGCCAATTTCCCTGCGAAGATTCTCACGCGCCGCTTTTGCAAAATCCACTTCCCGCCAAGGATACTCCACGTGGGAACTGAAAAGTCGACGGATGCGCCAACTTCGCCTACCGCGGCGAACTTGCTGACGATTGGACGGCTGAAAGTAAAGGAATCGCGATCCCACCAAAACTGAACGGATTTCGCGCGCTGAATCTTCGACGAATCGTTCGGTCTGTCGGAAGAGTATAATAAAAGCGCCAGCACAGTTTCGTCACGCATGGTTCGCGCGGAAGATGTCTACCTCTCTCGCGGGAGAGAGAGAGAGAGAGAGGAAATCCTTTCTCCCCTTTATGACTCCGCGCTCTGGTCTCGGATGGAGGAGAGAGGAAA